GCGTTTCGTCTGTGCTTGAAGAGCGCAGTCAACGATAATTCGCGATAAAAAGGAGTACTCATCCAGCGGAGGGAGTATCTCAACCGATTCAATACCACCGAGAACCGTGGCCGCAAATTTTTTCGAGCGAGTGGAAGATGAACCATTGGTAATAGAAATTTTGATTGGCAAATGATCACTACCGTAGGGATCTTGGATTACTTTCCACGAGCAATCCAACGATAGTGAAGTCGAACAAAGTGAGAGGTCTAATCTGCTTACTCTTGCTGGAGGTTTGGCTACTCGTGTTGCTTCCCCGGTGTTCAGAATTGTCATTTTGAAGATGTCGCACATGTCGTATATCAAGGTTGAGCGGTTGTCGTCGTACAGTTCCCCCCAGGCTGTACCGTGAGAGTTAAAAGCTCCTAAGATCAACCGAGGCTCAGATAAAACTGAGCAGATATCTGAGAGACCTTGGCGAGAAATCGCAGTTCTCGGAGGAAAATATACTGAGGCAATACTGAGGTTTTTACCTCGAATATTTACCTGACACGCGACAACTTCAATGCTTGTCACGGAAGGCAGATCGATTCTATAAATGGAATGGAGCTTATTAATCCCTAGAAGCACCCCTCCATACGAATCTGCTCGTTCAAGGCGAATAATGTTAAAATCGTGGAAAGGGAGATCGGTGTCTGAAGAAAGCCATGTTTCACAAAGAGCAAATGCGTCACAAAGTGAGTTGTGAACTAAAAATTTGAATGCGTCAAGTTTCGGTATAAGACTTCTACAGTTCCACTGAAGAAGAGAGATCATATCTCCGACCTCATTCGGAAAATTATCCATCAAAAGATATGATCGATGCAAGGAAGGACCACCTAGAAGCTAGTTGCTTCAAAAGAGTTTTCACAAATAGAAGCACTAAATTAATAATGTTCCTAGTTGAGTCAGAGACGTTGAATATATTGAAGATGCTCTCCACAATTCCAGAAAACGTGAACATGGCATCATGTTCTTGCTGGTTATTCAGCTGTTTTTCTGGCTGAAAAACTGGGATATCTGGGGTTTTAGATGATCCCGGAAGTGGCGGAAAGTCTTTGTTAAAATTAAAAACTTTAAATCCCGGTGGTGGGGGTTTTGCTACATTTCCGCTACCTCTTAAATTTGTCAAGGTAGGTTGAGAGTCCGTACGAGAGGCCTTACGAGGTTTTTGGGTGACGTTTGTTTTGGACCGCTTCCTCGTATTGCCGTTAAAGACAAAAGGACTACTCTCACCAACCTCTGAGTCAGAGCCCTGATCATTATCTGGCAGGAGGTGGAATGTGTTGTTGCTTTTTGGGGTGGTTTGGGAAGATGAAGCGGTCGTTTTCAAAATTTCTGCCAACGAGCGCTTAGAGCGAGCTTGCAAGGACCGCTTTAGTTTTTCTCCCTGCTGTTTGTACTTCGGGTAATCACTCAGAGCATGCGGAGCATCCTTACAGTAAACGCATTTCGGGGTAGCATGACAAGGACCCTCCGTATGCTCCTCCCCACATTGATCGCACCGCGGTTTGTTGGAACAAAAGTCCGCGGTGTGACCTAGTTGTTTGCATTTCAAGCAATTCATTACCCTCGGTACAAACAAGCGTACAGGTAGTCGAACCTTCCCTATTGTGACGTAGTCAGGTAATGCCGATCCTGAAAAGGTCACACGAAACGAATCTGAGAGGGTATACTTTTTGTTTGTGCCTATGTGCGACACTGACTGCAGTTGAATGCAGTCCAGTATCTTGACTTTCGGGAGGGCACGGTTTTTGAAGATGCCGAAAGATTCGACTTGCAGGAAATCCTCACAAGACAGACTCGAATCGGTGACCACTCCTTCAATTTCTACGTCACAACTGGGGACGTAGACTCGATATTCGATCGAAAAAAGCTCACAGGCAACAATTCGGTTTGCCTGTTTCAGGTTATCAACGGTAACGCGCAGTTTGTTTGGCGTCACCTTAAAGATATCGGTTACGGCCGAAAAATGTTTTGTCAGATCTTTCGAAATCCGAGAAATATTCAAAGGTTTTTGTTTGGGCCGGAAGAAAACAACCCACGGACCTTTCGAGTCATCAGGGTAAGCCTTGTGGCGGGGGGTCGCTGATATTTTCGGGGGAAGGAGTGGAGTAGGGGGCACAGAAGGACAAGGCGGCGATGGTGGACAAGGCGGCGATGGAGGAGAAGGGGGCTGTGGTAGAGATTTCACTTTTGGATAGGCTCCAGTGTTCTTGCTGGTGGTTTGATCAAGGTGCTCTTCGAGGGTATCCATTTCCTCAGAGCTATTAAGCTTTTCAAATGAGGGAGGCTTTATTGACTCATCATCAGAGATGTCAAGCGACAGACCCCCGCCTTTATTTGTATCATCCATTGCGGTGACTTAAGATACCACCGCAACGGAATTGGTTGCAATCTTAGCTATTAAATGTTTATATTTTCCGAGATATTTTCCACAAATTTCAAATATATGGATTGAAATTGGAAAGGAAATAACAAGAAAAGGAAGTCAACACTGTGAGTGAATTGCTCAAAGTATTAAAAAAAAAATAAAATAAAATATGTGCAAAAAAAACTAAATAAGATAATGAATAATAATAAAAATAATAATTTGTAAGAAAGAAAATTCAACGCTGCAGGGGGATTACTTAATATTAGCAAATCAAAAACCAAACAAAAAAAAAAATATTTACAAAAAAAAAAAAGAAATAGGCTGAGAAAAAAATTAACTTATCTCTATATGCCGGGATGGCGCGTTTACAAACTCCACTGTGCGATGAAGCAGAGATGATCGCTCTATTGTTGCAGCACGTGGCTTAGCACAAAGGGCACCGCTCGGGGCACCGTCCGGTCTGTATAGACCGTATCTGCAGTTCTGCTGCTTCGTTGTACGGTGTATACGGGTGATGACCTTTTGATGCCGTATGATGCGATGTCTAGGTGGTGGTTGATGGTTTTACCAAAGATGAATACTAAGATGAAACTGTCGGAAGAAAAACTTTCTATTTTAGTGTCTTCTTTCACGGTCCCTTTCATCCAATGAGAACCCCCCGTATTCAAGGTAATTTTGTGGTTTTGCTGCCCCCTCGGAAGAGATGAAATTTTGCGCTCATTTTTATCAAAACAATCACACCAAAATCAGAGATGTCTCATTTTTTAATTACTCGATTAACAACTAATCGATTATGTTTTGTTCGCTGTGCTGCCATTTTTCCACCAATGAGAGTGCAGCACATGTTTGAAACGATCGGTGATGATCCTGTGGAGATGTTAATGCTTATATCGGCATGATCTAACCGATTATAAATACATAGTTTACTTTTCGGTTCGTTAATCGATTAAACGATTATTCGAATGAAAATCGGACATCACTAGATGAATGTGAAACGTCATTTCAAATATAAGGCCGTTTATAAATAATGATACAATTTGAAAGGGACCGGGGCTAATCACAAATTACGTCTCCATGGTAACTGAAATAAACACGAGTGTTCACCGGTTGGTTTTACCGTTGGACAATCCAATCTTCAGACTCGGCTGAGATGGTTGCTTCCTCCGGGGAACGTTTATGTCTACCTGTGGCACTGCACACCAGAAGGTGTATAAAAAAACTCCGATCGGGGAGAGAAAAAAAAATCCACTTTTTTCCGAAAAACACTTTTGCGGCGGCGGGAGAGTAGCGTAAGCAAACTTGCTCTGTCGAACGTTCGACGAGGAATGATGCAAAACACTTGAAATCCATCTGTTTTTGAACAGTAGTGTGATTCAATGTGCAATACACTTGAATTTATAGTGAAAGATTTTCAACATTTCAGAGTTTGAAACACTAGAAATTAACGTGTGTAACACATTGAATCAAGGTGAAATACACTTAAAGTAAATGTGATTGTGCATTTAAAAAATCAAATGTTTAAGCACTTCGATCAAACGTGTGGAATTTTTTAAGTGTAGTGGTATTTTGTTTTCATCTTTAACCTACGAAATAGTACGGGTCTGTTTTCAGTGTACCGATAAAAGTTTTGAGCACGGAGAAAAAATACTACCCAAAATTTGAGTTCTTTTTACTTAATATTGACTTCAGCCTTTCACTTGCACTCGTTATTGTTGCCAAAAAAGGAACGAAAGATTCGACCCAACGATATAGTTCAGCCCAATATGTTACTTTTGAGTAAATTGCATATTCTCAAATGTACGTGAATTAAACTTAATTTTGGGTAGAATATACTTAAAGGCCCAAGCGCAATGACGGCGGAAGCGGAACGGCAACGGCAGCGGAAAAGCCCGATCTGAGTAAGCCTACTTGTCGGATTGAAAACTAGTTAGATCCAAATCGACTTCGGTTTGGCATCTTGATGTCATTAGTGACAACTGTCAAACTTTCCGTTTCCGTTCCGGTTCCGCCCACATTGCATTTGGGCCTTAAGAGTAAGTAATTTTTTTTGCTGGTGTTAAAAAGAAACTACTATAGATCAGTGCACGGTCCCTAACCTCACTTTTTGCTCCCTATCATTTAGCTTCTGAGTAAAAGAGATAGCAACGAATGGGAGCCAAAACAAACCACCCAAAACTGTCAAAACTTACGGGTGAGAGAAGAGTGCGGCAAATCTTCGTGAACTGATCAATATGCCTCTATACACGGTAATCAAAACAAACTCGCTTATGACTATAAAGTACGCTCTTTCTTTGGAAAATGGGACTACCCAATAAAGCAGTATACTGTTTTTACTCTCTTTTGCGTAAATTGAATGTACGTCAGAATCTGCATACTTTTTACACCACATAGTAAACTTAAAAATGCGTAGTTTTGACACCCCGAACAAAGTATAAATGCGTAATTTATACTCCCACATGCATTGTTTAATGCATAGTAATACCTTCAATAAAACAAATTTTGTATTTCAAGTTGGTTTTAAATATTTAATAAAAATGCACAAGAATTTTAACGGTAATATTTATTTATTTATTTATTTAATTAAATGGAATAAATCCTTTCTAGATTGTATTCGCATTAATCGTCTCACGCATTTTATTACAAAGTTTGTTAACTGAGAGTCGTGAACTGCTCATTTTTACTTTATAGCTAAGTATTTTAACTAATTCAGCCATCTTTATCAATGTAGCTGGTACCTTGTAGTTAAATACAATGAAATTTTTTACAAATGTTTCTACTGCTTGGACTGATCTAGTACCCAAGGAAAAAATATGGCCCTCAATGAACATCATGTAGACGTTTCCCTGGTTAACAATGTGGGGAGGCACCGGCGCATTATGCAGAACTGCGTACGCCTAAAGGGATTCCTATTGTAAAAAAGGTAACGATATTAATTTTTCAAAATAGCAAAATATTAAAAACACTTACACCAATCCATCGAATCAGCGTTGCTGCCAACTCCTCCTCGACTCCCAATGGCATCACGTTTGGTGGTTTTCTAACGCCTTTTCAAAGGCATCCGCGGACATGATCTACATTTAGATGAAAATTTCATATAACACGTAATGGTTACTCGATGTCCTTTTTTAATTTGGTTGACAATAAAAGTAAATGCGTTAATTACCTGCCAGTGTCGTGAATACGTCCTGTTCCAAAGCTTTTGACAATTCCTCCATTTTCCGCTGACCCACCGCTGACACTTTTACAAAAATAATCCGGGACCGGGAACTGAATTAAAACGCTGCTTTTCCAATGAACGCTGTTTTGAAAATGGCGACACGTCGCGGCATAAATTTTCTTTTCTCAGCGGGGACTACTTTTTACACATTTTTGTTCGTCGTTGACGTACTCGAAAATGCATAAAAAGTACTCTTCATTTGTAACTAAAATCTAAACATTTTTTGACGTATAAACCGTATTCTCGAAAATGTGTAAAACATAGTCATAAAAGGAGAATTCTAGAATTACCGTGTATGCGATTTCCTCAAATTTGGGTATTGGGCTGAACCCCGGAATTGAGGGAAAAGTACTTAATTTTGGGTAGTTTTTCATCTCCGTGAGAAGCTACCGATAACGAAAAAAAATAATCTGTCCACCCTGTTTCGTACATGAATTCGAACTTCCGATAGAAAGAGATGTCAATATTTATTCTCTTCATGCTGTATTATTTTTGATAGGGTTTTTATGTGAGTATAAAGGAGGTAAGATTTTCTTCTCTGTTTTACGCACAAATTGAGGAGAAACTTTGTTGGAGTAAAGAGAGTTTCCTGGCCTGTCAATTTTGATAGCAACAGCAAACGGAAAACTAAAGGTGTTGCTGCTGACACGCGTTTTACAGGTTGTTATTCCAGTTAATTGTAATTAATGAAATATATTTGTTTTATTTAATGTTCGGTAGCCCGTGTATGGCAGACGTATACACAGTTTGCTGAAAGCTGCTGATTCCAGAGAACCATGTTTGTTTTATATGAAACTCCAGCTGGATATGCTATATTCAAGGTAAAATTGTACCTTTTTTTTGTAATTGCATATTTGTTGTAATAGTTTAGTATGTGGTTTGTGCTGGTTAAGTTTAAAAGCATACATAAATTTAAGGAAAGTTACAAAATCAATGAATATTGGGATTTTGTTGGAAACGTGATTTAATAAGCTATACATAAAATCAAAACATTCCTTATTTATACGGTTAGTGAAAACAAAATCATTTTATTCCTTGATCCGGTTGATACGAAAAAAGAAGCTAAATTTGACATGTTTGCTGATAAATGTAATTTGCGTGGGCCATAAACGTAATAATCAGGTTATTTTGAACCGTGCACGTGCAGTCACATCGAAAAAGCGTTTTATAAAAATAATGTTTAATATCTGGTTTTACTTGCAGCTTCTGGACGAAAAAAAACTCCAGGAAATCGATAACCTCTATTTGGAATTCGAATCTCCAGAAAAGGCCAACAAGGTGTAAGTATATATATATCTTCCTTAATCCGTCCTTTTTTCTTCAAACCGATGATCCGTTCCGCATATCCATTTAAGAAAATATGGTATACGCTTTTATTGATCCATCGAAAAGTAAATATAAACCCTTCACTCAGCATTGTGTTAGTCAAAAATGTTGATTTTGATTTATAAACATTAACCTTTCCATAAATGTAATTTTCTCGACCATGCGTTTGAAGTAGGGGTGTTCTAATAAAAGCATAAGTCACATCTTTGCTTGATTTCCTATTAAAATAGGGCTACATTGAACCAACGAGAAATGTAAATTTCACCAGATAAATCAGGTGACCTTTAAAAAATATGAATCCATTAAAAAATACATGTTGCACATCAAATTCAATGGCATGGTAATGAATTCCGGTAGATTGACTGATGGGGATCAAGTATACTGGTAAATGTTAGGTGTAACTGTCGTGGCGTATTCGTTAATTCAGTTTGTTAGTTGTTGAGAGATGGAAATACGCGTTTGTTATTGCTACTTGGTTTGGAATTTTGTGCGTAAGTTTAATGAATATTAAACTAATTAATCCTATGGCCTCATTGGGGAAGTCGAAAAGAAGCGTTTTTTGTATGAAAAGTCGTTAAGATTAGTTGCATACATGCTTGGCATACACAGTTTTGGTCACGAACTGCTAATTTGCTAATAACTTTGCATACAGTTGACGTAACATAGTTCTTTTTGAAGTAGTAGACAGAATAGAGTTTAATCTTTTTATAGATACGTAAAAAAACAGTAGACTTTAATTCTAGTAATAAATGAAGTGCTCGCTGCATATCTCGGACTTTAAGTGTAAAAAATCATTGATGTTGATTCAAATGTGTACTGTGTATTTATGTACTCTTTGCATATCTATAGTAAACTATGATTCTAATCTATCAATTTAAAGAAAAACAGTTTTAAACAACTGAGTGAAAAGTTATTAACAAATGAGCTGTTGGTGTCTACAACTGTGTATGTCAAGCATGGTTGCATAATGTGAACCCGCATAAGCGCGAACCATAAATTGACCTTACCGATAATGGTTATAAATTGTTTATAATCCCTGCTAAACTTCAACTGAAATGGTTATGGAACTTTACATGAACGTTTAATGATAAAGTTTTAACCTTAAGTATTATAGTTTTTTGGAAGTGGACCTTACAAATAATGGGTTGTTAAGAACCATTACCATTCAAAATTCTTGTTTTCTCCATACATTTTCGGAAAGAAAACTATACTAAAACCTTTTAACTTATGGTTTGAGAACATTAATGGTAATGGTTATGGTAACCAGTAAGGTCCATGAATGGTTTTGTAACATCGATCAACTTTATGTGGAATATATCGCGAATTGGTTGCCTGTAAATTACTGATTACCAATTCACGATATATTTCACGTAAAGTTGAGTGATAATACAAAACCATTAATGGACCTTACTGACTACCATAACCATAACCATTAATGTTCTCAAACCATAAGTAAAAACGTTCTAATATAGTTCTCTTTCCGAAAATGTATGGAGAAAACAAGAATTTGGAATGGTAATGGTTCTTAACAACCCATTATTTGTAAGGTCCGCTTCCAAAAAACTATAATACTTAAGGTTAAAACTTTATCATTAAACGTTCATGTAAAGTTCCATAACCATTTCAGTTGAAGTTTAGCATGGATTATAAACAATTTATAACCATTATCGGTAAGGTCATGTGATGGTTCGCGTTTATGCGGGAACCCTTGAATTGCAATCCATATATAATAAACAAATACCATAAACGAACGTTAACCCGGATAGTAGAACAATCCCTCAAATGGTTTGGATGGTATCCCGAACGGTTCTGTGACACTACCCCGAACGCCGTTACCCCGAACGGTACACTACCCCGAACGCCGTTACCCCGAATAGTACACAACCCCGAATGACCATTACCCCGAATCCATTTCCAAAAGCTGTTTATTTTACTAATTATCTTTAGTTGGTTAAACACTGGTGCTATATTGTAATTAGAACAAAAAGTTAAACCTATGTATTAATTAACAACAGGGCGATTCCCGTCAAAAAGTCCAAGTGTTCGACGTTGTTTTCGTAGCTTCGAACAAGCTTTTCCAACTGCTCATCTCGCTGGATATCCTTTTTGCGTCGCTTAGTGGGTGGTTCGCCATTCAAAACGCGCAAAACTTCTACATTTGTGTTCCGCTCTTCTAACTTAAATTGACTCAAAACAGTATAGAAAGATGGGTTTTCTCTTTTCAATAACCCATTCCATTTAGAATGCCAGCCTTCGAGGTTATTAGATGTACGTTGTATATTAATCTCGGACGTTCTGATAGACAGACCACAGTGCGGGAGGGAATACTGGTCTACGCATGTTCTTCCTCTTGGCTGGTCCATGCACGTACGTATCATTGAAGTAGCGGAAGAAGTCTTTCATTACTTGGGGGCAACGTTTTTCCAGCTTATCAAATGCCGTTGGAACTTCTTGCGGTGGCAAGAAGGCTAAGGCTGTGACCTGCTTAAATGACAGCTCGGTTATCTTATCGTTACCATAATTCCGTTTCAGCCCCATTTGCTGTAACTTGCGGAACAGGCTTTGGTTAAAGTGAAAGTAACATCCGTGCATCGCTGTCCCAGGGAATGCTGCTTTGGCAGCATTAATTGCTGCAAGCTCAAAATCGATGAGGATTACTGCTGGATCTAACTCCATGTCATTTGCCTCCGCTATTTCACACAGTTCGGTAAACGCAGCACTATAGGTGCTCTCGTTTTTCTTAGGTAATAGCATGTACACTAAAGGAATGAACCTTCGAGAATTTGATTCACCAATATTGGCATGGATGGTGAAAATCTGCTTGAAGCTTCGCGGAGCAGTGATGAACGTACCATCCATGATCCAAACTGAAGCCTTTGAAATAAGGTTTAGCTGTTTTGGTGAAACGAAAATCAATATAGTGCCTTCGTCAGTCTTTTTTACACGCTGCAAGAACTGTTCGCCATCGGTAGTCGTTCGATATATTTCGTCGATGTCATCAAAATCATCTATGTCCACGGGATCGTTTGATGTATCTCCTTTTCTGCGTCGTTGAATAATTTTACGTTGGGCGTTTCGACTTATTGAAGCTTGAACCTATGAAAGGTTTTAATTCGGTTAGGTAAATTTGAAAATAATAACATTTGGGGTTATTCCGAGAGCCGAAGCGATTTTCGTCGTGGTGACGTGACTCTCCATTTGATTTGCAGAGAGACACGTCACCAAAACGTGACTTTTCTCACTTCGCTAGTGACAATAATCACTTCGACTCTCGGAATAACCCCTATTATATGAAGGGAAATTTGTGTCTGTATAGCATATACTCACATATGAGATCAAATTAACATTATTAAAATAATCAAAAAAAAATATATTACATATTTAAATAATTTAGACAAAATTATTGATTCTATGACATTTGGTGGTAAACTATTTCACGGTGTAGGCGGTTCTTTGTTAAATGTACAGAGTTTCTTTTATTAGTTAATTAATCAAAAAAGTTAATTCTTCTTTGGTAAGTTCCAACCGGTGTTATCCTTAGATTAAAACCCGATCAAGAACGTCCAACTGGTTTGATGTTGATACCGGAATTAATCAATACGATACTAAAAAAACATTTTGCAGATCATCCAATCAGGGTCGGCCTAACTATTAATGGGGTACCGCCTTTGGCATAAATCCACTTGGCATAACATAACT